GGAGTGACAGGTGCACTTCATTAATAGTAAGCATGCTAAATTGTATTTACTGAAGTTTATCATATTTTTTTATCATACTGTCCATGTATGAGACACAAGTAGTTATTAGGAAATGTTTGTCAGAAGAGAATTTTAAAACTTTTATCTGTATCATGGTCTTCTGGGTTGTAACACCATGTAGTATTGATGGATACTGAAGTTTCCCCAAAATATTGATAACCACATTTCAGAGGAACAGACATTGTAATGGCCTGCAAGATCACATGGAATTACAGCCAGAAGATCAAAGTTGACATCTTCAATACATTGAGAACCTCAAGTCACAGATAAATATATAAAAGTAACATTCTACTCGTTTTCTTTTGCAGCAAATATGATCTGTACACGAAGAGTGCAGATGTGCCTGATGTTGAGTCTCTCATGCCATACTACCAGTCTCTTATTGACAAGTACATCCCAGGAGAGATTGAGTGGTAGACAGTAACCAGCAAGGCACTACAAAATGTAAACACAGGAAATGTGAGGGGGAAACTGACATTACATGATTCAGAGGACAATTTAGTTGTATATAAGTAATATAATAAGCTTCATGATTTTTTTGTGGACTGTGGACAGATTTTGATCAGTTCATTATTTATAAAGAATAATTTATTATTTATTTTGCTAAGAAAGAGGTGTTACCAGCAATCCCTGTATTGCCTGCTGGCCTGATTTTAATCTCACAGTTATGCTACGCTGTGCATGTTTTCTGATAAAACAATGTATCTTTCTTAAAAACCTACATAAAACACAAAAATAAATTACACGTTGTTCAGAAGGGCTTACTTTATCCTTGAAACTGTTCCTCAAGCTCTTGCTCCACAAGATTACTTCTAATTGAAAGGAATATCACATTTATTTACATTTTCTTCTAACATGAGATCCTTATTTTGTAAAATATTGTGATATTATTCAGAACATTATTTTCACCCAAAATTCCTCTTGGCTACAGCTGTACATGCCTCTGTTGTCTTTCCAGGACTGCAATAATGTTGTAATCATCTCTACTTAGAATATCCCATTTCTTTCTATGTACGGCCCTAGAATCAAATTTCTTGGGAATTCTTTCTGTTATGCCAAACAGTGTTACAATAAACAATTTTCATGTTTTAGAGGTCATTGAAGGTAGTTCACCCTGATGTATCACAAATTTAGGTACATACACTTCTCAGTTTATACAGATCATCCTACTTTTGCTTGTCTCTGTATATGGTGCATTATCATTACAATATTAAAATACAAACAAATAGGTTATGAATAATTCCTTTTGACAAGACAGATATCTAGTATTGTCAATGTAAGTTGTGTGATTAACTAAATATGCTGGTCAACAAATTGACAGTGGCTTGAACTGGAAAGTACACAATGAATATATTATACATATACCATGTTCAGCATGCTTTGTTATGAGTAGTTGCATCACCCACATAAATAGTTAAATAACGAGAAGAAGTCTGGAAATTCAACAGACAGTAAAATAAATTTTACATTCAATAGAAAATCAAATGTACAATCCTGTACATGATTAATAAAGGAATTGCTGAGATACTTTCTCCTGATGGATATGGGTGCAGAGATCGTAGTTAAATCAGTTCATATACATTTGTTTTCAAAAGCAGAGTAAATACCTTTGTGGTAACAGGGACCAAGTTTTATAGAAGTGAGATTTCAGTGTCTTACGATGGCAAACATGAAAATAACTGCCGTCGGGGATAGTACACTGTGTAATCCGAAGATAGCTATATTCGATTTTTAAAATTAACGCCTGCATTATGGTTTGGGGACGTTCATTATTGATTAAGTCGGTTTGCATTTAACGTTGTTAACGACTGAGCTCTTGGCGGTGGCTGCTGCCAAGGCTTAATGCTAGGTGGTACCGCCAGATTGTACTGCACTTCCTCACTACAGCTGCGGATAGATGGGAGCGCAATGAATTTGTATGAATGAATTATTATCCATGTAATTGTAACAAAGAATTACTCATTTTTGATCGTTGATCAACGAATCTCAGTACTGCTGGTAGCTGGTGGTGGATGCAGTTGGTAGGTGTTTATGTTGTATGTTACCTTTCCCAATATTGGTTATGTTTACGAATACAAACTTATTTATCGCCGCAACAGAAATATTACGGATGATTGTTTCCACTTGCTTCGGAAACTATGATGATCCAAACACAAAATAGAACTGATAGATCCGTAGATACTCCATAGTACGAGCCAGATATGAGGATCATATCAACACAAATGCAATACTTAGCACAAGTGCAGTAAATAATACCAATATAAATGAGAACATAGTTATTGCAGTTATTTGCATGAATATTTACAATATGTACCAGTTGCGGAACACTCGGCTGTAACCACATTTCACTTGTGTAATTTATTGTTCATGTTTATCATCACTGAACATGTAGCATCAACTAAAGAGTAAAATACTGTGCATAACATTGTGAGAAAGTCCGTAAATTTGTGAGCTCTCAGAAGGATGAGGTTTAACCTTCTGTCATTAATCTTGTAAGACCTTCCTTCCGGTGAGTCTTAGCATGTCTAGCTACACAAAATTCTGTTAATTTTTGTTAATGCATTATTTATATTGCTTCTTAATAGTTTCAATTATTCCAATCTGCCAACCAAAATTCACTTGTTTTCTTCCGTAATTTCAATTAAAATGCACATTTGGGTACATGTTACTTATTTACAGGTCATATGTTGGCATCTTTGTGATATACTTTTAATATTTCACTGTTTCAGTATTGTCAAATATCTATCATGATCAGAGCCAGCCGTCCACAGCATTTTGCCTGGTAAGTTTAAAGTACACTTTTCTGCAAACTTGCACTTGGTCAAAATAATTGGACTCTTTCCATGAAGTCAGGCCAGCAGATGATACATGTATAACTTTGGTTTTCTGGCATGTTTGTTTGTTTGTTTGCTTATTTTATATTGTACCTAAAATGTTGGGAAGTTGTAGAATTTGGCACATTCTCATTTAGTAATCTATTTTCTAGTGAACAGCAAGCTGAATTTATCCAGGAGAGGATAGCCACAGTTGAGAAGCATTTTGCAGAACTGTGTACCATATTTGCAGCTTACACACGGAAGAGTGCAGGGTGCGTGTTCTAAAATTATTTAATTTTCCATATTTCAGTTTTTAATATGTTAAAAATTTGTAGAATTCTGTAACAAATAACTAGTGGTTCTAGCAAACTGTGGATGAAGGTGACCTACAAAATGTAGCCTCCGAGGCAAGCAGGCAGGCTTCAGCTGGCAAAGAACAAATTGTTTGGAAGAGACACTCTGAGACCAGGGACCTACAGAGAGGCTGATGAAATAGAAAGCCTCACATATCTCATATGATGTGAGGCTTTAGCTGAATTAAGATGTTATCACTTGTGTAAATACTTCATGGTTGTATGCTAGAACTGCTGGCTGGCAACAGACGAGTCCCTTGCCTTGGTTATTTTCTCAGCTTAACCCGCATTTGCTGGTACTGTCAAATGCCGGAGCTGCTGGTTCCATACTGAGGTGAATCAACTTTCAGGTGGAACCTCTGTGTTACAGAGCCCCCTTGTATGTCTTCTGCCTTTTTTCTTTTATTTCTTGTGTTCCATTTTGTTCCACAAGAAATGGAGCACACAGTCACTGCCTACGGAGCCTCATATGGATGGAAGGCAGGAACATGATGTGCTACCTGGTGCCCCAAAGGGGTCGTTAGTGACACTGCTGTCACCACCCCAGTGCTGTGCAGTGTTCCACACAATTCCTCACATCTTGGTTTCAGTGGACCAGAGTTCTGTTATCTATCCAAAGACAATATATTACCCCCCCCCCCCCCCCCCCCCCATTGGAAGGGAATATCAATGAAAATAGTTGGAGAGAAATTTGGTTTTGTATGCAGAGAGAAATGGGCAGCCTGATTCATGCACTTGATGAAAATTGAAGAAGATTGTCTGAAAGTAGAAGTGTATAGTTAACCTATAAGAAGACAATAACAGGTCCATTAACCCTGACTTAACCAGCAGTGGAGAAATTAGGGGAATAGACTCTCTGAGTTATTGAATTGAAGACAGTAATAGGCAAACTGTGTATCCTTACATGGTAGAAAGTTTATTAAATTTGAATATTTTATATTATTTATAATTCACAGTTAAAACAACAAGAACTTCTGGTATATTTATAATAGTACAGCATCATAAAATCAAATAACTCAGCTAACATGCAAATAACTACTCATGTTTATTTTACAAGAAGGGACTAAAATAAAACAGCTGTAAAATGTTTAATCATAACATATGTTGGAATCTGAACAGTAGTAGCATATCACTGTGTTTACATCAGACCCCTCCATTCCTTGCATGGGCATTTTCTCGTGAAACCTTACCAACTGGAGATGGGAATGACTAAGAATCGTGTCCATTGGCAATGAATATTTTGATTCTTCTACCATAATTACAAGGCTCCAGAGAATAAATTTTGTATTTTAGAGTACAGCTCAAAACACCAAAACTGTGATCCACCTGACATGTTTATGCATTTGTATTGACTCTTGAGATTATGGCAGTTATTTTAAAATAATTAAGCTTCTTGAGAAGTGACATCTTTCATTTTTACCTTTCTTGATTTTTGTAAGTCATGTGTCTATAATTTCTTAATTTTGACTTTAGGTAACTCCTTTCTTTCATGTGACTCTTATTTTCAGGTTAAGAGATACGTCTGATGAAATAGTAAAGGTAATACAAGATTATGCAGAAGCTGAAAATGTGAACAGATCCTTAAGAAATGGTCTACTTCAGTTTTCCTCTACATTACTGGCTATAGGAGACTACAGGTGCTTCCTTGTTTCTGATTACAAACAACAGTATAGGACCTCAATAATTGGGGGGTCCATTCTAAAAGTATCTTCTTAGAGATAAATAAGTGCCCAGTAGCACTCAACCCTGAAGCGCATCTTTTTTTTTGGTTGGCTGAGTACCCTCAGGTCACAGGATATTTTAACTAAGAAATTCATTTCCTGTTGATTATTGTGTTTGTTATTTTGTGTTCTTTGCACAGTGTACATGAAATGAACGTATATAGAGCAGTCTCTGTCTGTCTGTCTGTCCATGTGATTCAGTTTTAGAACTACTTGATAGATGCTGATGAAACTGGTACGCACATTATGTCCTGTCATCTAAACACGTACTTACTCAATTTCCTGCAATGGGTTACACAAACTTGCTGGCTGGATGAACTCGTGCAGTAGGAGCAGCACTATAATTTGTGGTAGTAGAGCTTTTAAAGGTAAGTAACTTTGGTGGAGTAAGTGTTTGTGCGTGTGCTGCAATTTACTGCTATGCTTTTATGACTGATACTTATGATAATGCTTGTGTAATATAAATAATATGGTATAGTTTTTGTTAGGTAGGAACATTCAAAATGCAAAATAGCAAAGAACACGTGTCAGAACTGTGTATTCTGATATGGATTACAGTTTTCCGGTCTTGTTTTATGATAGAGATTTCTACGCTTTCGTAAATACGTTTTTATTTCTGGAGATGACGGTTATGTATTGGTTAGCATTGCCAGTTTGTAATCAGGAAGTTAAGTAGTTTTAAATTTGCACAGGTGAGTGACTATCCTTTCCTTTTATACATTTTGAACTGTTAATATTAAAATTCGTAGACAGCTGGAATTATCATTGCCTCACTGAAAAACATGAAAAAACACCACTGTGGCTGAATGCATTTTCCATAACAGAAAATGCTTGGTTTCAACTATTTATTCGAGTGGTGAAGACAAATGAAGACTACTTCCCATAGGAGGGAAACGTGTTCATGAAAGGAAAATTCTGCTTTTTTTAGAACATTATGAGCTTTATTAGTGAATGTATGATGATAATAATAATAATAATAATAATAATTTATTTACATTCCATGGATCCATAAGACAGTCAGTGTATGTAGAAGATTTTACATTGTTGAAAAAGTGTTGGCCTTTGACTCTCATTGGAAGAGCTTATGTTTTCCTTGACTACCTAATATTTATTGACCTTGCTGTATGTATTCCACTAAGTAAAAATATAGTTTTATATCACAGGGATGCCCAAGTTCAACGTATAGATTCCAAAATAGTATCGGAGCTCTCACAGTATGAAGACATTTGCAGACATGCTAAAAAAGAAGTCAAGAATGCGTTCGTTGCCTGCAATCATGTATTGGCTCGAAGGAAACATCTTGATCGAGTCAGGGAGAGAAATCCTCGAAACAGGCAGCAAATAGTATCCTTTCGTCAAATGCCAGCATGAAAAGAAACTTTTCTAGAGCCATGTGCAGCATCTAATATAAATAATTTTAGTTGTAAAATTTGTTTTATTTGCTTATACACAGATGCACTTCCAGTAGTAATGTGTGTTACCATATTGTGGGATAGTGACATGTATTCATGTGCAAAAGAAGTTGAAAGGTTTATAAGCAAGAATGTGAAATTCTTGGCTTATGTGAATTTTGTTCTAATTCCATGAACAGGCTAAACTGAATTGGATTGGTAATACAGGGGGTGTTCCATTTAGAATGCAGCCCTAATTAGTGCACACTGAACCCCTTAATGCAAAAATGACAAACCAATAGCAATATTGAATTCTTGCAGCCCTGTCCCATTGTTGGAGTGGCTGCACTGCTTGAAATCAGTTTGGCCATAATTTCAGTTGTTTGATTACTCAATGAGCGTTTGTCATGGGCAAGTACTTCTGTGTCCCAAATGTTGATTACTATTCTGTGCATCATTGTTTTTGATGCTTTGTTGTCAAGTTTTACATTATGAAATGCTTAAAAAAAAGCAGAAACTTAAGTGGGGGAGTCTGTTACAGGGGATGGACCTACTTCAGTTATTTTTCTTTGTACCATAGTATGGTGATCGTTGTTGGGTGAATTTCAAATGATACATCTTGCATATATCTGCTGGAACACAAAATTTCAGAACAAGATTGCTACAAAAGTGTAATACAGCATTACAAAAAATCAGCATGTACCAAATACAATTCAGCACTTCATGCTTTGCTGACTGATACTAAATTTGTATTTGGTTTAGTATATTGTAATGTTTTTTCTGTTGTGATAACACGCCTGTTAACCTGGGCCCTAGATGGATGTAATTGGTTAGCTTCATGCTGTGCTGAGAACTAAACCCTGTCTTCCAATCCATAGCCTAGACACTGTACTAACTGAGCTGTCCCTACTCAGCACTTTTGTTCACGTTCCTTATAGTGTTTTTAGTGCTGTTGGTGACTGAGACATGAATAAATCATAGGTTGGATTCCAGTGAATGCAGATTGTTTTGTTTGATGTATTTGCATGCAGTGAATCAGTACGTGTGAATACTGTGAGTTAATCTGTAAGCTTAGCAATACAAATCTGCACCTTTCTTCTCCATCAGAACAGAATGTCACAACACAATGCAAGGAATAGGTGCAAACTTGCAACAATGCATTTTAGCTACTGATGCTTCTATCATGCAGCTTCCAAACAGACTGAGCTCCTGCTACATGTTGGCAGGCTCCCTTTTTGGTGACTGGTCACTCACAGAGAACAGAACTGGACTCAGCCACCTATTCTGCTGAAAAATGCTGTGCAAGGGGTAAATTTTAAAATACCAACATGTGAAAACTTGGTTATGTCAGATCCTTATCAGCCTCCAAGTCTCTTGCTGAGGCAGAGTTACTGAAAGCAAGTGCCGATGTCTCTCGAACTGCAAAAGCCCTTGAAGAGCAGGTTGATGTGTTTGAGAAGAAAAAGCTTCAAGACGTAAAGTCGTTGCTTCTAGGTTTCGTCACTATTGAGTTAGGTTTTCACTCAAAAGCAATCGAGCTCTTCACTAAGGCTTATCAGGATATAGCAGATATAAATGAAGATGAGGACTTAGAGGTACAGTGTTTTAAGTATAAGTATCCAATATTAATTGCAAATAGCATACTAATAATATTACACATTAAATATATTCTGTCCTTAAATGTGTTTCCCTGGTCAGACTATTATAAAATCTCAATATAGTGAAATGTCATCATGTGTTGTGAATGACTTCTGTTCCATATGGTGATTATTCCTTACTTCATCCCAAAAGGATCATATTTGCTGATAGTTTTCTGCTGTTTTCCAATACTGGCAATCTTATCATATCTGATTCAGTACATATCATTAGAATTTTGGAATGACATGTTTCAGAAAAGTAGTTCATTCCTCACAAAGTCAGCAGGAGATCTTTGCCAAAAAAAATTTTCCGTGTTACTCTGATTCCACTAGAGTCCACGTGGCACCACAACTCAGAAGTATATCATTGTGCTCTGTAATTTGTTTATGAAAATTGTGCTAAAGCTGAAAATTACTGTCTTCTAGGTTGTTAAGCCATGTAGTCTGGTAGATGTTTACTGACGTTTCAGGCTGCAAGGCGCAACAACCCACAAGATAGTAATCTTCAGACTCACTGCCGTCAAATCCTAAAATCCTATATGTGTTACAGTTACTGACAAATTAGAACTTTGTTTGTAGGAGTTCCGGAGTACTCTACAAATTCCTCATTCAGTGTCTCGGCTTGACACTGTCAAGCGAACCTCATTTCGAAGCAGCTCCTTCTCTCTTGCCAGTTTATTTGCAACACCGCATGGCTTTAGAAAACCGAATGAAGGAATTCCTCACCTAGCTTCTAGAACTCCTACTACTAGTGATACACTGGTGAGTTGCCCTGTTGGTTAGTTATATTGTTTCTGAACTAGCATTTTAACAGTGGAAGGAAATCAGCTTGAATTGGAAATTATGTTAATCATATTCTCTATTGCCGAAAGCTAAAATTTTATAAGTGAAGTAGCTCTGACTCTGCTTACTGATCTTGATTTATCATTATTTGTAGTTTGAAAACATGAGGTTTCTGAGTAAATTATATTCTTTTATCACAAATATTCATTTTTTCAAGATTAAGTAAGTTTGCAAACCTTACTACATTTACCAATGAAGTGTAAAAGTAGCGGAACTGTAGCACATGTTGGTACTCTTCAATAAATAAATGAAAATGTAATTTGGTTCAAATGCTTTCAGGATGAAAATTATACAAAACGTTACACATCTATTCCTTTATGAAACTGGAATTTGGAAAGTGAGCCAACAAAAACTCTGATAACTTATGACACCAACTTCCTGAAAATACTTCAGTCCATGTTGTAAGGCTAGTGGGAACTGTAAATTGATGATTGTACAATTTGAAGGTGGCTATCTTCTGCAATGTGCCATGTCATTTGGTAAATTTACTAATGATTCACAGGTGCTCATTGTCTCCATCTTCAGGGCTATAATTACTTCTGAAATCTCAATCAATTTATAACAGTTAACAGTGGAGATGCTTAGTCACTTGCTACATTGTAACTGTAACATAGATTAAAATTGTTATCCATTTTTCAGGAATCACAGAAAACTGTTGTAGAGGATTCTGTGGACTCTGTGCACACAGAAGATTATGCAGAAGATAGATCTTCATCATTTGCTTCTGAAGTTGAAGAACAGAAACATGTAAGAATCCAGTTCAAGTGAATTATTAATTGTACTTATTTGTTATTTATATATCATTACAATTATTGCTGTAATGGCTTTAAAATTAAGTCCACTGCTATTTCTTTGTAAAGTGCCTTATTTCATGTTTTGCCCAGAGTTTCATTGTCATATTTACATGATATTTTTTCTTATACGTTGTCTTAGAGCAAAAGAGGAAAAGCAGAGTACTATGGACTTAATATGGAAGTGACTCATCACTTTGCCAGTATCTGAGTTGTGAACAAAGTTATCATTACTCTCATAATTCTATGACGTTTCCACTGTGTGTGTATGTTTGACCCAACAATTAAATCTCTTCTGACTATATCTTTTTTTTTTAGTTTTTGCCAGTTCCTTCTTTTGGATCTCATATTTTTGGTAGTCTTATGGGATAACACAGTAATATAATGGAAGATCTGTGTAGTTCAGGTGGTCATAGAACCAGTTTTGGCCCCAAAGACAAACCTCTTCCTAAGGACAGCTGTTCAGGTGCCACCAGTTTTTTAGTAGCATGGGGAAAACCCCAGATATGCCAAACAATAAACCTAAAATACAAAGATACTCAGATGATTCTGTTGGGTAAGGTTTCCATTGCCATATCATAGAGCATGTAGGATTTTTACTACAGGCCATTAATGTACTATTTATAACAGGTAACAACATCAATATCCGGTTTCTCGGTGAGCCGGTTTCTTGGCCAGTCAGGGCCTCCGACAGCTGGTGCCTGTTACAGTCGGGGTCCGGGGGGGGAGGGGAAAAGCCGATATTTCGACAAGCAGGTGTGTCAGCTACCCGGCGTCTTGGCATGCCGATGTTTCGACAAGATGGTGTCTCGCCATGCCGGTCTTGGCATGCCCATGTTTCGGCGAGCCAGTCTCTCGGAGAGGCGATTTCACTAAGAGCCGCCATCTCGGCCACCCCGTACTTCGGGCAGTCGGTGTCTCGGCGAGCCGGTATCCTGGCGAGCCAGTGTCTTAGCAAGCCGCTCCGGGTCGAGTACCGGGGACACGTTGAATCGGCATGTTTTTCTCTCAGTAAGCTTGTGTCTTAGCGAGAAAGTACCTCGAAATGCCAGTGTAATGCATTGGTGGAGTTCTGGCAAGCTGGTGCCTCAACAACCAGGTGTACCGGAGAGTCAGGTGGAGCGCAATGCGTGGTCTGTCTACTCGGCTACAGTAACTGATGTTTTCCATGCTTTTCCTCAGTTGTAAGGCGAATGCCAGGTTATAATTCAAGAGGGGCATGGCCTGCCACCCCCCAATCATGGAGGCCTTCAGCTGAAGTGATTTCCCCCCTAAGCCCAGAGAACCAACCAACCAACCAAATTCTTTTGGACAAGTTGCCTGATGGGATAACCTCCCATCAGCAGCAACAGACCCTAGTTTGAATGGTCGAGGCACCCGCCACAACAAAACCCCCATTAGCGTAAGCAAACTCCCGTTTTAGTTTCAAGGCTCTGTTTACCATTTCCAGCAATGCATTTCGTATGCAGGAATGGTGTTACCTAGCAAGGAACGATTTCCTTGCTCTTTCGCAGGACTCCCAAATTAGTTAACATTTTGGTTGGTTGGTTGGTGGAGACTGCCAGGGGCTGCAAACCTTCTGAAATGCGCACA